GACATGGCCATCTCAATAACTGTCCCTGTTAGAGAAGTCTTACTCTGGTGACAACCACATTTGGATTGGCCACTAAGACAAACAGAAAAAGTGAATCTCCCTAGAGGGGAACCAGACAGCAATAAAATCCTTAATTCATTGTGTATGGATTACATGGATTATCCCATTTAGGTCTTAGGGGATGTACAACATTGTACCATTAACCCTAAATATTTCTACTCCACAAGAGGAAATGGAACATTGGACCTTTATTGGTATAAGAAATTGAATCTTGAATAGTATAAATCATTTATATTTTGTTTAAAGGTCTGTTAATAAAATGTGAAGGTTTTACATTGACTTTTTGAGAAAGATGGAGATTTTGGTACCTAGAAAATCCCAACGTTTCTTTTTTTCTATAATAGAATACAATAGCAATAAAACCTTAATGGGGGTTCCTTATCACTCTTTCCAAAGTTAAACAGAACAAATAGGACTTTAGCTACACTTCATTTGTTCGCATTCTTCAATGTAAGGGGTCAGTTCAAGGATATGATATAGTAGGAGGTTTCCAGGGAAATGAAAAAAAAAAAACACTCCCTAAAGTGAGCGGAAACACCCAAGCATCAGAGGTATAGCGGAATAAATCCAGGAACTGTGGCTAGGAAATACAACTGATAGAATTCCCAAGAGGTAGAAGAACCCAATGAAGGACTTGGCCCATCAGATCCTACCTATAAACAGGAATGCCCATTTTGGATGGATATAAAAGGGTATCCTCATTTTCTATTGGACTGTTTTACACTGCTCAAGAATCCAATTAATTTTAGCACATTACACGAACTTGCTAAATCAACTGGAACACTCTTCACATTCTCCACAATTCTCCCTTTAACAAAAATGAAAAAAAAAAAAAAAAAAAAAGACTAATCCAGAGGAGATCAAAGAAGGGCAAGGAAATAAAATAAAGATAATTGGAAATGTGAAGAATCGTTGAATCCTATCCAAATGTGGCTTGTTTACTCAAGAAAAACTGCTCTCGGGGTTGCAGGGCGCAGACAAATCTGAGGTCAATGCAAAGATCCTTTCAAGAGACCTTTTCATCCCATTGTAGAAGTGACACTTAACAGTAAATAGAGGAACACAAAGCTATTGGCAAATGATAGACTTTTTCACTCAAAGGGAAGTTCAGCTGAATAATTCAGGCTGGTCACACATAACAGAATTATAATCTCAGACCCGCTCCCAGTGGTGTCACATTGGAGTAAAGGGAAGAAGTCGAGCCTTTGTTAAACATTAAGAGCTCATTTTTCATACAAACATTGCCAAAAAAAAACAAAAGTGCTGCTTTTGTTAACCAATCATATGCATCAGTGCCTTAAAACAGATCTTCACTCATTGTTACATATCTATTTAATTAAACTCGCCCCCCACCCCTTCCAGCAAATATAAAATAAAAAAATATAAGGGGTGGGGTACCCTTATTTGCACAGTGCACCTCTTGATTCTGCCTGCCTGCCTTGCCTAGATGAGAATTAAGTCCTCCCCCCCTCACTCAATGTCCCATTGGAAACCCACATCACACATTCCAAGAGACTTCAGGGAACTGAAGAGTGGGGAGTCAGATTATTATAGACACCCATTAGTGACCAGTTCTCTTTAAGGTAATAGTTATTTAAAAAACCCCAACAGGTAGAATAACGAATCTCCAAGGCAACTATATATTTTTTTAATATGCTCTTTTAGCATTTTCTAAGCTAATGGTACACTTTAATGCAGGCCCAACAGGTAGAATAACGAATCTCCAAGGCAACTATATATTTTTTTTAATATGCTCTTTTAGCATTTTCTAAGCTATATGGTACACTTTAATGCAGGCCTTGGGTCCGATAGAAAGAACTTCTTGATGAAATTAATAAATACACTGCTTGTCATATAGGAACTATATTTGGTTAGAGGCAAGGAAAAGAAAATTGTTTCCTTGAGAAAATACAGCAAGCGTTGCGGTTATCGTAAGTCAAAAAATAATGAATAGGACAGAAAAACAATGCATTTTATATTTAAAAAAAGAAACTATTGATTTAATAAATATCAACTTTATCATTTCAAAATCCATCATCTTCCATCTAATGCGCAGTCATGAAATTGTTCTTTGCATTGTTTGGAGTGCAGAACCATATTGCAGCTATAAAAGTAAGGGGAATGCTGAGGGAGGTCAACGTTAAACAACAATAGTTTGACTTGGCATAGAATATGGCTTATTCTATGAAATTTCTGTAAAGGGAAAAATTTATATATGACCTCTTATAGGCTGGGTGTGGAGTTGACCAAAAGTCGTGTCACCTGATAATTGTATGAGCTTGGTGGACATAATGGGGTAATGTCCTCATACCATTGTTTCGAGTCTATGATAACCTCCACTTTACTGGGAAAGCCAAACTCATCATGTCATTTCTTTATGGGGCTGGCATTGTGTACAGTGGCACAGTCACACTGGAATAGAAAGGAGCCTCCCTTAACTGCTGCCACAAGGTCAAAAGTGCACCATTGTCTTATGTATACTACAGCATTAAAAGTACCCTCCAATGGAAATACCCAAAACTCAGTAGTTCGGAGGGGGCACGCCACATGTGTTTGGCCATATGGGTACATGTGATCATTAAAACCACTACACAGTACTTTAAATATTATATATATGCACACACACTATATTGCCAAAAGTATTGGGACGCCTGCCCCGCCTGCCTTTATAGGCATATGACCTTTAATGGCAAAGCTGGGAGCATGAAATTGTCCAAAATGTCTTGGTATGTTGATGCCTTAAGAGTTCCCTTCACTGGATCTAAGGGGCCAAGCCCAACCACTGAAAAACAACCCCACACCATAATCCCCCCTCCACCAAACTTTACACTTGGCACAATGCAGTCAGGCAAGTACCGTTCTCCTGGCAACCTACAAATCCAGACACGTCCATCGGATTTCCAGACAGAGAAACATGATTCGTCACTCTAGAGAACACGTCTCCACTGCTCTAGAGTCCAGCAGCAGCGTGCTTTACACCACTGTATCCAATGCTTTGCATTGCACTTCGTGATGTAAGGCTTGGATGAAGCTGCTCGGACATGGAAACCCATTCCATGAAGCTCTCTATGCACTGTTGTTGTGCTAATCTGAAGGCCACATGAAGTTTGGAGGTCTTTAGCTACTGACTCTGCAGACAGTTGGAGACTTCTGCGCACTGTGCGCTTCAGCATACGTAGACCCTGCTTTGTCATTTTAAATGGCCTACCACTTGGTGGCTGAGTTGCTGTGGTTCCCAGTTGTTTCCACTTTGTTATAATACCACTAACAGTTAACCGTGGAATATTTAGTAGCCAGGAAATTTCATGGATGGACTTATTACACAGGTGGCAACCTATCAAGGTACCACGGTTGAATTCACTGAGCTCCTGAGAGCGACCCATTCTTTCACAAATGTTTGTAGAAGCAGTCTGCATGCCTACGTGCTTGATTTTATACACCTGTGGCCATGGAGGTGATTGGAAGACTGGCCCAATACGTTTGGCAATATAGTGTGTGTGTGTGTGTATATATATATGAATGCTATACTTCCTATCTAGGAAAATAGCAGAACAGGTGAAGATGGATGAGTTAGAGTCAGATCCGTTGACAACTTAGAAATGAACGACCACCATGGGTATGTCACCAAACAAAACTTTCACAATGTGAAATATAATGTACAATCCTAGTAACCTATCCTTTAACAGGTTGTCTTTCAGCAAGTTGTCTTACATTCTCAAGATCGATCCCAACTAGACGTGTATTTTGTTTTGTAACTTATTAATCTTCATCAAAAATTTGATTTTCAGAGATTCAGATGTATACGGATCTCCAAATAGACATAGTAACGAATGTCAACTACCACAAAAAAAAGGTTTAATGAAATTAACAAATGTTTCATTCGGATGACGCCACATGATTCGATAGTAGTTCAGGCCCATGGGGAAATGAATTAAACTTTCAAATTTGTTTAAATTGCAAATTTACCCGAATTCAAATTGATTTTGTAGCTGTCATAGTAAGTCAGTTCAGTTATACAATCTACTGCAATTTTCAGGTTTGAAAAATTTGGGGCTATCAAATTTTGCATTATTTATTCACTTGCATCTGAAAATACTGAAACCTTCCAAATAGTTTCAATATATAAAAAATAAATCCACCCGAAATATATAGCAACCTTCTGAAAAAAAACTGCAACATTTTGTGAATCCACTTGGACCCACAAATACACAAAACAAATGTCGAATATAATGAAACATATCGGTTCAACATAATGAATATGCCGAAACAAAATTCTTGAATGAACAAATTTGTCTTAAACGAAAATTCTGGCATGCACATGTCTAAAGCCAACTGTACTCTCAGTTACACAGATAGTTCAATCCTCTATCCTCTAGTATAGCCTTTCTCAACTTTTTAACTCCAGAAGAACCTTGAAATATTTTTCAGGTCTCATGGAACACCAAAAGAATTAAATCAAGAGTCAGTGGAAAGAGTGTCCCTTACACTGGGACTTGATGGGAAGAATATTCCAAACACTGCTGGTCAGTTGAAAAAATGTCCCTCATTTGGTGGTCAGTGGGAAGAACATGCCTTACAGTATGGGTCAATGGGATGCATCCCCCTTACATTGGTGATCAGTGGAACAAATCCCCCTTAAATTGGTGACAAGTGGGAAGACTGTCCCTTACATTGGTGGTCAATGGGAAGAATGTCCCTTACATTGGTGGTGAATGGGAAGAATGTCCCTTACATGTTGGTGGTCAGTGGGAAGAATGTCCCTTATGTTGGTGGTCAGTGGGAAGAATGGTTCTTACATTGGTGGTCAGTGGGAAGAATGGTTCTTACATTGGTGGTCAATGGGAAGAATGTTCCTTACATTGGTGGACAGTGGGAAGAATGTCCCTTATGTTGGAGGCCAGTGGGAAAATTGTTTCTTACATTGGTGGTCAATGGGAAGAATGTCCCTTACATTGGAGGTCAGTGGGAAGAATGCCCCTTACATTGGTGGTCAATGGAAGAATGTGCCTTACATTGGTGGTCAATGGGAAGAATGTTCCTTACATTGGTAGTCAATGGGAAGAATGTCCCTTACATTGGAGGTTAGTGGGAAGAATGTCCCTTACGTTGGTGGTCAGTGGGAAGAATGTTCCTTACATTGGTGGTCAATGGGAAGAATGTTCCTTACATTGGTGGTCAATGGGAAGAATGTTCCTTACATTGGTGGTCAATGGGAATAATGTTCCTTACATTGGTAGTCAATGGGAAGAATGTCCCTTACATTGGAGGTTAGTGGGAAGAATGTCCCTTACGTTGGTGGTCAGTGGGAAGAATGTTCCTTACATTGGAGGTTAGTGGGAAGAATGTTCCTTACATTGGTGGTCAATGGGAAGAATGTTCCTTACATTGGTGGTCAATGGTAAGAATGTTCATTACATTGGTGGTCAATGGGAAGAATGTCCCTTACATTGGTGGACAGCGGGAAGAATGTCCCTTATGTTGGTGGTCAGTGGGAAAAATGTTTTTTACATTGGTGGTCAATAGGAAGAATGGTTCTTACATTGGTAGACAGCAGAAAGAATGAGGGTCATTGGGAAGCATATCCCCTTACATCTGCAGTCAGTGGAAAGAATATGCCTTACATAGGGAATCATTGGGAAGGATATCTCTTACACTGGAAGTCAACAGGAATAATGTCCTTTACATTAGTGATCATTAAGAAAAATGTACCTTACATCGGTGGCCAATGAAAATAATGCCCTCCTTACAGATAGCTAAAAAGATCATTGGTGGCAAGCTGCTGGCTCTTCAAGTGCAATTTGTTAGCACCATGAGATGGGAGGTTTGTATGCCACAGCTCAAAGGAACCCCTAGCAACATCTGGATGAGCCCTAGGGTTCCTTTAGGATCCTGGTTGGGAATGGCTGCTCTCATAAAGACAAGAGAGTCTAAAAAATATGCCAACATCATGTACAAAAACGTGCAAGCCAAATCCAAATTTTTCAGATAAGTGTTACAGAGCAGCAGGAAACAAATACTCATTGAAAGGTCAGTTCTGTGTAGACTGTTCCATTGGGAACTAACTCCTCCTATGTCTGCTCAGAGGTAAAAGCGTTGCGTTCATACTATGGTTTTCACAATGTTTTCCTTATTCCCCTCCCTTCGGTTCTGTGTAGGAGAGACTCCAACACTTGTCCTTTTGACTACAGAAATTCTCAGTTTTAGTCTGTCTCTGGCTTTGTTTTTTTCCTTTTGATCACTGAAAGATTTTCTCCCAATGTTTATTTTGTCTCTGTGGTCTGCAGACAATGTGACAACACTTCGCACTCCCCCTTCTCCAGTACTCCATGGGGTTTTCTGTTCGGAGTGTGCATGCTTGACAGTTCCTGTAGAACTGCATTGTCATACCTGATGTCACAACAGAACATTTCCAACAAGAAGAAGGCAGCACAGCCTGTGATTCACAATATCAAATAAGTAAGAGGATCAGAAAAAACAAAAGGAATCGCTGTCGTCTTTTTTTTTTTTTTAAATTATCTTCTAGAAAATTAGAACAGTATATTGGATCCTCAATTCTTCTACAATATAAAATATTTTGAACCGTTCTTACTCCTCAGCATGTCAGGGAAGGGTTAAAGCTGAACTCCAGGCTTGCGTTCAACCTTGCACAGTTGTACCGGTTCTTCTGGAATGAAATTGCTTAGTCAGATTTCACTGCACACTGTGAGCTTCTTGCAATGTGCATTAGAAGCTGCAGCAAGTCAGATAGAGCCCCCTCTTTTGCAGGCTGGAGGACACCCAACATCATCTAGTGCTTTCTTCCCCAGCCTGATTGTCCCTGGATCATCCCTTTCATTCATTGGACTGCAGTTCTCTCAATACAGAGGTTCAGCCTAGGAATACCCATTCTTTTAAATCGACATTCACCCATAAATGTATTTTGATATTTGCACAACTCTTCCCAAAAGCCAGCCCACTGCTTGCAACTGGGCCAGGGGCTCACTATGCTGCAGTGATGTTTTCAGGAAGGTATGTACAACCCCCTGCCAGCCCCTCCCATGAGCAATAATCTGCCTACATTGCACAGAGACCCAGTGATGACATCAATGTGTCCAAAATAAGGTATGCAATTAAAAAATATATATTATTTAATAATTTTATTGGTATCTTGATAAGGGGAAAGGAAGGAACCAGGGAAGGCCAAAAATAATTAAACTTCAGCTTTAAACCTGTCATTTTGTTTTGTAATGTGTATGCACGCTTGAAGAGTTTACCTTTCTTCCTGCCTAAGTAACACAACCAGAAGTGTGAGGAAATAAGAGCCCATTCAAAGTACATGCGCTGCCTTACTGTAATACATTAACACAATGCACAGGAACAGGCAAGTGTGAATGAGCCCTAAAGCAGAACTCCAGGTAAACAGAACAATAAACATCTTCAAAACATATAGGAGAGCTGTTTTAGCAGATAGAGAATTTCAATTTTTGTTCATCCAGTTTGTCTAGGAAGGGAGGGAACCTCATCTCTCTGTTGCGGTTTCACTTTTTTTCCCTCCACATCCTGTGACTGCACTGTGAAAGGAGAAGCAGCATACTAATTAAGCTCACCTCTGTCATTCTGCTTTTTCCTCCTATCAGCATGGCTCCTTACACGTCAGCACACCTGACTGGCTCCTTGGGTTGCATTTCCCTTCCCCTGTCTGAGCTCTGCTGTACAAAGTTTACAGGGACTGCAAGGGACTGATACCAAGTTGAATTCAAGTACTTACACTGCTTGTATTAAAAAATATATATTTAATTTTGTATTTAAGTGACTGTTACATAGTTAGTCTGGCTCAAAAAAAAGACAAACGTTCATCCAGTTCAACAATAAAAAAAAAAGTTCTAATCCTACACCCACATTTGATCCAGAGGAAGGCAAAAAATCCAGCAAAGCATGATCCAATTTACTCCTGCAGGGGAAAAAATACCTTCTTGATCCCCCCGAGAGGCAATCAGATATTCCCTGGATCAACTTTACCTATAAATGTTAGTATCCAGTTATATTCTGTGTATCTAGGAAAGAATCCAGGACTTTTTTGAAGAAATCCACTGAGCTGGCCAGAACCAACTCTTGAGGGAGTCTATTCCACATTTTCACAGCTCTCACTGTGAAGAAACCTTTCCGTATTTGGAGATTAAATCTCTTTTCCTCCAGACGTAAAAAGCGCCCCCTTGTCCTCTGTGATGACCTCAGGGTGAATAACTCTACACTGAGTTCACTATATGAACCACTGATGTATTTATACATGGAGATCATATCCCCCCTTATGTATTATACATGGAGATCATATCCCCCCTTATGTATTATACATGGAGATCATATCCCCCCTGATGTATTATACATGGAGATCATATCCCCCCTATTATACATGGAGATCATATCCCCCCTGATGTATTATACATGGAGATCATATATGTATTATACATGGAGATCATATCCCCCCTGATGTATTATACATGGAGATCATATCCCCCTTATGTATTATACATGGAGATCATATCCCCCCTTATGTATTATACATGGAGATCATATCCCCCTTATGTATTATACATGGAGATCATATCCCCCCTTATGTATTATACATGGAGATCATATCCCCCCTTATGTATTATACATGGAGATCATATCCCCCCTTATGTATTTACATACATCCCCCTGATGTATTATACATCATCATATCCCCCTGATGTATTATACATGGAGATCATATCCCCCCTTATGTATTATACATGGAGATCATATCCCCCCCTTATGTGTATTATACATGGAGATCATATCCCCCCTTATGTATTTATACATGGTGATCACATCCCCCCTTATGTATTATACATGGAGATCATATCCCCCCTTATGTATTATACATGGAGATCATATCCCCCCTTATGTATTATACATGGAGATCATATCCCCCCTTATGTATTTATACATGGAGATCATATCCCCCCTTATGTATTATACATGGAGATCATATCCCCCCTTATGTATTATACATGGAGATCATATCCCCCCTTATGTATTATACATGGAGATCATATCCCCCCTTATGTATTATACATGGAGATCATATCCCCCTTATGTATTATACATGGTGATCATATCCCCCCTTATGTATTATACATGGAGATCATATCCCCCCTTATGTATTATACATGGTGATCATATCCCCCCTTAATCTCCTCTTCTCAAAAGAGAATACATTCAGTTCCTCTAAACTTTCCTCATAGCTGATCTCCTCCATGCCTCTTATCAGTTTGGTTGCCCTTCTCTGTACTTTCTCCAGTTCCCCAATGTTCTTTTTGTGAATTGGTGCTCAAAACTGAACTGCATATTGTAAAGTTTAGTTTCTTTTAACAAAATACTTACCTGTTGTGCAATATTGCAACCTTGAACCTCCTCTTCTGGGTCCCCTGTCGGCTGTCTAGGCTCCTCCTCTTGCTATGGCCGCTTGCTATAGAGGCACTCATGTGGGCTCAATTCTGAACCTTCTTTGTGCACTCATTGACACACACAGCGTGGCTCGGCCCTTTCCCCTCCTCACTGGATTTGACTGACAGAAGTGGGAGTCAATGGCCTGAGAATGCAGAAAGAAAGCAGAGCGGAGCTGCTGGTGGTGACATCCCTGGATGGAGAGTGGTTTCAGGTAAGTGTTTGGGAGAAGGGGAGAGGGACAACAGTGGAAGGTTTTCCCTTAATAAATAGAATGCATTAAGGTATAAATCCTTCTGCTTTCAGAACCACTTTAAGGAATACTGAACTTCATTATTTTGGGTCTTTTGTATCAGCCTGAAGTTCATCTCAAAGCCTTTCAAGAAGAAAGTTGGTAGTTGGCCCTTTTTTTGACAAAGATCTAAAGCTCTTCCAGGCTTGCCATCCCTTGCCTGAGCACAGCTGCTGAGCCTGCGGTACAATGCGAAGCCAAGGACAGTGCAGCTCTAAGGATGACAAGGTCTTGTATTTATGCATGCCCACCTCCATCATGGAATACAAATCTGAGGTCAGAGTTATAGGGCGCTGCCTTCTTGTACACCTTGGAGAAGATTGATGGCCAAGTTAATGGGATCATTATCAGTTAATCAGTAATGTTCCTAATTTCTGAAAATTATAGAATGTAAAAAGTTCTGTCCAACACTTCTGTACAGAAATATGTCTGCCCACGCATTCTGTCTTTCAGCAGTGTGTAGGTAAAGGGCAAGTCCACTTTTTAGTCCATGTTCCACCCATATTTAGAGTTTAGCATGAAGCATGGTTGCATTCAACATCCACAAATCCTAAATTCTCCAACCTGAATTGCAGGATGGTTCTGTCCACAGCATTTCCAAATTGTTTGATTTTGGCACTGCTGTGTGTGGCTCCACCCCCACGGCCACGTCATCAAAGTTCATGCTCTAGGACTGTAAATTAGTGGTCCCATCTGCCATCCTGGCAAAGGGCCTATGCTGAGCACACCAGGGATCCCTTCCCTCCCCTCAGCTAGCCCCATAACAGCAGGTTCATACTCCATATGGACATGGGACTGTGAGAATCTATTTCAAGAGCCAGCGCATTGCACCCATGGGTGCAATGCAGACTGTATTGCAAAATATAGTAAATCCACATTGATCATAGCGTTAGCAATCCCGCATTTAATTGCTTTCGCAAAAGGAACTTAGGCAGCAATAAAAATACTATTTAATATTGAATGTCATAACATTTTTAAAAACAATTCAAATGTAATAATATTTAACCAA